TATAGATACACACTCGAAAGGCGTCAAAGGGAGCAACCACCGATGGAATTGATATTTCGTGCCGTCTACTAATTGAATACAGGGAAGCAGAGCCCTCTGGCATTCTCCCTTAAGTGCCGGTTGTCGAAGTCCCTTCGAGTGCTGGCAACACGACAACCTCATGTACTTATATATATATATATATATATATATATATATATATATATATATATATATATTCTATATAGAGCATATATATTATGTATATGTGTAAGTATATAATTGAGTGTTTTCGTTTACTCTCGCGACATATCGCAGATGCAGTAGCAGCTACTACTACTATTACTACTACTTCTACTACTACTACAACAATAGAGCTCTCTCTCTCTCTATCTCTCTCTCTCTCTCTTTCTCTCTCCTCTTTCCTCTCTCTTGCTCTATCGCAAAGAGGAAAAACGTTAGTAAAGGTATAATACGAGTGAAACGTTGAGGGTGTTGAAAAATCGTAAGGTTAAGTGAAAAAGTGCCTTTTAAGAGCATCGCCACTTCTCTCTCTCTCTCTCTCTCTCTCTTTGTTTTTTTTTCTCTTTACCTTTTTTTTTCCTTATTTCTTTTTCATGTTTTCTCTCCCTCTCTCTCTCTCTCTCTCTCTCTCTCTCTCTCTCTCTCTTTTACAAAAGAAGAGTTCATTGTCAAAAGACAATAAGTCCCTGGCGCCTCGTTTTATAGGGCTTTCACGTGAAAAGCGATTAAAAGTCGTGCCCCGTACTGTGAAATATTTACGCCACCAAGAGAAATAGAATTTTTTTATGAGAGAACGTTTAAGATATACCTATTCCAGCGAGAATTTTACGCCTCCTCTTTCTTCTTTTTTTTTTCCCTTCCTCTCTCAACCTCACTCCCTCCCACTCCTTTCCCATCTCTCTCTCTATCTCTCTTTCTCTCATTCTCACTCTCACTCTCTCTCTCTTTCTCTCTCTCTCTCTCTCTCTCTCTCTCTCTCTCAGTCAGGTTCTCTTCCTCGTTTTTCTCTTTCTTTTGTATGAGAACGCGCCTAGAATGTAAGACAAGGGACATGTAATGGCAAGCTATACCTACCCACCTCCCACCTCCCTCCCTCAACCCCCCACCCTCTTTCTCTCTCTCTCTCTCTCTCTCTCTCTCTCTTCATAATTATAACTCGAGGCACGTAGGAGATCGAGGTGCTACTCGTATCTGTCGTAAAATTCATCCGAGAGAGCTATACGCGAGGCCAAGTGAGTGGTAGAAAAAAATGTAAAGGATGGAAGGTAAAGACCTTTCCTAGGACAAGAAAAAGGATTTCTCTTCCGTCTGACGGCTTCTAATGCTGCTCGTTTATAAAATCGTCTTTGGTGTATATATATATATATATGTATGTGTGTGTGTGTATGTATGTGTAGAATGTATACACGTAGATATATATATATATATATATATATATATCTACCTATGCGTTCGTTCAGTAATATCGGAGAGAAAGAAAGAGAAAGGAAGATAGAAAGAAAGAAAGAAAGAGAGAAAAAGAGAGAAAGAGAGAGAAAGAGAGAGAAAGAGAGAGAGAGAGATTGCAAAAGTACAAAGTACAACTTGGAGGAATACAATGCAATTTTCTCGTCCGCATATTTCTCATCCTTTTTTCATATTTCTTTAAGAACGTGTAACGTCTTTGCCGACGTATAGATAGAAACCTTATATATATATGTATATGAGATAAAATACATATCCATATAAGATATTCGATATAAAAATAGAAATCCCATGACATTGTGTATCTATTAAAAATCATCCATAGGTTATATTTCATTTTATATATATATATATATATATAGGATAATATCTATCTACCCACCATCAACCTCCTCCATCGCCATTTTTATTCGATTTCAATTATTCCATTCGCATCTATTCGAATCTCTTTTATTCACTCTTCATCTTCATTAATTATTATTATTATTATTATTATTATTATTATTATTATTATTATTATTATTATTATTATTATTATTATTATTATTATTATTATTATTCTTACGATATGAACAATTTTATACAATATTATATCTAAACGTTCGAATATATTTATTTATGTTTATTTATTTGGTATATCTCTCCGTGATACAAATAATGTTATACGATGTCTAAAAAGAAAAAAAAAATATAAAAAGAAACAAAAAATAATCGACGTCATACTAAACTCATTTCATTCAGCTAAAATTAGAAAAGAGATAAATAGAAAAAAGAGAGAGAGAGAGAGAGAGAGAGAGAAAGTGGGGGGGGGCAACTTCGTACTTTGAGAAATTTCGAAAATGAATACGACTATTCGAATCGCCCTACGTGCTATTCGTTTCGTTGAAATGGAAAGAGAGAAAAGTATGAGGAAGAGGAAATGAAAAAAGAGGCGAAGGAAAGAAGAGAAAGAATGGAAAGGAAGAGGAGAAAGAGGAGAAGTAAGAAATAAAAAGGATTCGAAATGAAAATAAGAACCTGATACGACGTGGGTTTCTCTCGGGAGGATTGCGGATATCTCAAAGCATCTCACGTATAT